TTGATGTGTTCAGCTGATGTTGATGTGTTCAGCTGATGTTTGATGTGTTCAGCTGATGTTGATGTGTTCAGCTGATGTTTGTGTGTTCAGCTGATGTTGATGTGTTCAGCTGATGTTTGTGTGTTCAGCTGATGTTGATGTGTTCAGCTGATGTTTGTGTGTTCAGCTGATGTTTGTGTGTTCAGCTGATGTTTGTATGTTCAGCTGATGTTTGTGTTCATCTGATGTTTGTGTGTTCAGCTGATGTTTGTGTGTTCAGCTGATGTTGATGTGTTCAGCTGATGTTTGTGTGTTCAGCTGATGTTTGTGTGTTCAGCTGATGTTTGTGTGTTCATCTGATGTTTTTGTGTCCAGCTGATGTTGATGTGTTCAGCTGATGTTTGTATGTTCAGCTGATGTTTGTGTGTTCAGCTGATGTTTGTGTTCATCTGATGTTTGTGTGTTCAGCTGATGTTGATGTGTTCAGCTGATGTTTGTGTGTTCAGCTGATGAGAAGAGATGAATGTCTGTAAATTACTGGTGTTGATGAAGTGTAGACAATTAATATCTGTTATACATTGCCAACATTTGTTTTGATATCTAAAAGACACAATTTAAACAACAGCTAAAARTGTTRTTTTTGCACAAAAGATGCAGTCAGAAGTCGATAAGAGAAATGTCCTTCAATGAGTTTTCTCCTGAAACAACATGGATGGAGCGTTCTGAAGCAGAGGGTTGTTCATCACTTTGTTTATTACACCTCCCCACATCACAGATCTGAGTCAGGACACAGTCGTAGAGGTCAGGTCACTGCATATAAGCTAAACAGGAATGTGTGTATCTGAACAGGGCATATGCAGTGTGTTGTGTTATTGTGTAACATTTCAGAGATTGGAGTGCAGGAAATGAGATTATCTGTCACAGCACTAATGCACAGCCTTCAACCTGCTCACTGCAGCTGCTCCAACTGGGCTGCAGACGCCCCCCACCCCTGAGAAAAATACATATTTATTTTTCCAACCATCTACTTATTTGATCAGAGTGACTTTAAGAATTAAAAAAAGCATTCAGATGTATAGGTAGTAGTGTGTTTTTGTTGTTTTGTTTTGTTTTTGGCTCACACAGCACATCATGGTTGTGTTTTCTGTTGTTACATGGTGAGGTGGGGGCTGCAGTGATGGAGGTCAGATGAGTGCAGAGCTCTTTTTGTCTTTCAGAGCTGTAATGTGAGACCTGAGCTCTCTGCCCACWGCAAATGAATCTCTGTAGAACCGTCCTGTCTGCTGACAGCCTGTCTCTGCTTAATGTACTAATGATTACTCTTGTTTTGTGATGTGTGTGTGTAGATCAGTGTGTCTCTGTTTTAAAACCTGCAGTTGTGTATGTAACAGCAGGGTTTTTCTTTTTTTTATCATTGTGTGTTCAGACAGCGGTGAGGACCGATGCAGGGAGCTACAGAGGAGGTGTGAGGAGCTGGAGGTCCAGCTCAAGAAAAAGGAGGAAGAGAACACGGAGCTGCTCAGGGACCTGGAGCAGAAGAACGCTATGATTTCTGTCCTGGAAAACACCATCAAAGAGAGGGAGAAGAAGTACCTGGAGGAGCTCAAGATGAAGAGCCACAAGCTGGCTGTTCTGTCCGGGGAGCTGGAGCAGAGGGCGAGCACCATCGCTTACCTGACGTCACAACTCCATGCCACTAAGAAGAAGCTGTTGGCGGGCAGCTCCTCTGAGGCCAGCCCTAACGTCAGCCCCATCACYTCATACAGGCCCACGCCTCCAGCGGCTAAAGACAGGCAGCCCGAAACCCCACGGCGCCGCATGAAAAAGAGCCTCTCCCAGCCTCTTCACCCCGAGCTCACCGAGGTGTACCGCCTCGGTCCGGACGGCAGGCGGCTGGTGCTGCGGGAAACGGTCGACGCCATGCCCGACCCCACCCCTTTCCTCCAGGCGGGCAGGGAGTCCCCCGAACCTCAGATGGTGCGCGAGCAGCCTGCCGTCATCCCCCCCATCGCCTCCCATCGCTCCCCCGTCCCCCCACTGGGCGCCACGGCCAGTCCGCGTAACAGCCCCGCGCGAGACCGCCAGCACAGGGCTCACGTGGGCGTGGCACACCGCATCCCACACGGCACCCTCCCTYTSGCCCCGCCTCAAGCAGAGCTGGAGACGCTGGCCGTGGATCAGGTCAACGAGGATAAGGTTATCCAGAAGTGCTCGGAAGCAGACAGGACAGTTTAATTCTTTAACGCTAACGTACACACACACACACACACACACACACACACACATCGAGGGCCAGATGCATAAAGCAGTAGTTTTTATCAGTACAGCTGTGTGTACATACAAGGAAACTGGCATACGCCTTCTTTTTGCCACATTCAGAAAGCTGTGCAAATATATACGGTTCTGGTTTTTTGTAAATGTCTTTGATTCTTTTGCCGTACGTACAACTGTTTCATCCTCACCGGTAACGGCTCCAGACAGCCATCTTATTTCATTTGCATAATAAAATGATGAAATACTGGCTTAACGCTGGTGCAGTGAAGTGCAATTTTTAAATAACGTTCTGAAGGTCTCATTAATGTCTTCCAGCTAGAAGAGCTGCTGAAATAAATCACAACTGTAACGCTGTAGCTGCCAGCTTAGTTTTCTGTTCATTTTCTCTTTGACATGCATCCTTCTCACTGCACAGTCCAGACACACAAACAATGTTTGTGGTTTTCTTTGTTTATGCATCTGATCCTCGTGCAAGRAGAGTAAGGAGTCTGACCCACTGTGTAACACTGCAGCATAAGCAAATATCATTTAGTCATTTTCCATCAGATATTTTTTTTTCCCTGATCCTCCCTCCACAGGAAAAAGACGACTGCGCAGCATGCCAAACGATTCTTAATTCTGTCCCAGTGAGACTTTGTATTATACACATCGCAACTTCTTTGCTCAGACTTTCAGTTYGTTCTGTCGTTCGTGGAGTGAAGATCAAGTTCTCAGCCAAATATCTGCATCAGTGCCTGCTTCACCRGTCCAATCATACACGAGCTGTAGTCGTGGCTCTGATATCTTTATACATATCTTCGTCCGCTTCTCAGCAACAGGCTGAAAGCACCAACAAAAAGGTAGAACAACGCGTCTGCAGCTGCGTAGGGTAGAAGTGAAACAATTAATCTAATATTCCTAGAATGTCTTTCTGCTTGTGATATCTGTATAATCATGTTATTGTAGGTAGAAGCTGCGTAGTGTTCTTGAAATCCGCAGGTCATGGAGGTGAGGGGGGTAACATGCGAACGTTTCCTTTTGCTGACAGAAGGAAGGCGCAGCAGTGGACACGTTCTAATGCAATACGAGCTGAGAGTAATCAGCTGGCGTGTGTGTGTGCGAGTGAGGAGGAGTGTGTGTCTGAGAAACGGCGAGGGCCGCAGGGAGAATTTAGCTTTGGCTGAAACAATACCCGCTGATGCTAATTGTCACACGAGGACATTTTTATTAAAAACACTGCTTTAACAAGATATTTGTGATATGACTTAACTGTACTTTTAAAGGCTGTGAATTTGTAATCAGTTCTTTTTTTTCTATTTAATATAGAAAAATGTACAACAGGTCAAATATTCTCTGTATTGCACTACCAACTTGATGGTAATTAAATCTTCTATTAGCCTGCTTTTCACAGTAAAATCACTTGTCATCAATTACAAATCGATATAATAAAGTAATGTTTTTTAAATGGTTGGTTTGAATGATTTATTTCAGGTGTTGGAACACTGGTCAGTGTTTTTCTGATCAAATTAAAAACATGTTGCTATTCCAGATGGAAAATGATGCAATAAATAAGAAAGCTAATTTAATAGGTAGATATAATCTGTATTTCAGCCTAGCGTCTCTTCAGAGCACAGTCTTTTCAGATTATTGTAGGCTGGATTACCAGCCTACACTGATACATTTTGCTACAAAATTTGAAGGAGCTGAGCTTCCTTCACCTGCTCCACTGATTATCTAACATTTCATATTCTGCAGGTAAACTCTCAGGTATCTGTAGATCCCCACCATCTAAACTTCTTACCCTGTTAGTCCAAGTCTTCAGCACAAATGAGGGAATCTCACCACTTATTATCCATAGTTCAACCAACTAGCCACTAGATGTCCCACTTGGATTATAAAAGTTTTCAAAATAAAAAGGAAAACCAAGTGTTTGCCTAATCCCTAAATTTTCTTCTATTAAACCTTTTCCCCAGAACAAATATAAATAGGGCAATTAATGGTGGAAATACAGACAGAATCATATCCTGGTATACTTAAATTATGTTGTGGGTTCAATTATGATTATTAAATGTTGCTCTTGTTTCTTCATTAAAAACAGGGTAACAATATAATAATGTAATAAACTTTTAAAAGCTTGTTATTTGGAAAAGATAAATGTCAAAACGCTCAGCATCTGAAGATCACGCTTCAACTTAAAAGATCAGTTTCAAATGAAATAAAAAAAAGAGAAAACAAGTAAAACTTCAGTCATTTTACTATTAAAGGAGCGGGGGCTGTTATGCAAAATTGACCCTTTTTTTTTGTTAGCTTTATATCATGTTGTAATGTCATATCCAGAGTGTTGCCTTGACTCATTCCTGCATGTTTGATATCCTTGAATCTCTAGTGGTAGCCATGGACTCATACCTAAACACTTGCTGGTACAAAGTGCTGCCTATTGGCGAAGACGCACTGAAGTGGGAGTGTCTGAAATGGCAGGAGAGGCCAATTTCAAGGTGCTTAGATAGACTGTGATGCAAAGTCAATTTTATTTTTGATATATACAGCATTTTTATAATAACTGAAGGTAACATAGTTACGTGATTGTGGTATAGAATAGAACTACGTGTCTGGAAAATACATAATATCCCCTCTTTAATGGCTTTACTGACATTACACCGCAAAGCACTGAAGTTAGTATTGAAAAAAAGTGGAATATTTTGAGTATGTTAAAGCCTTAAAACTAAATCACTTTTAACATTGTTTCCTCTTAAGGTTCAGTGTTCCTGTCTGATAATATGGGGAACAACAGAGTTTGAGATCACTTGTATTTTGTTGGTAATGTAGTTTTAGTAGCTGCCTGTTTACACGTTCTGATCTAGTAAATAAAAATGAAACAGCCTGATGTATCATTGGTGACAGTAATGATAAAATGAGAATAAACAGTTAAAACTCCTTTATGTAAACCAGCAAGGTTGAATTTCACCTGACTAATGTAAAAACAATTCATCCAACAACTGATTAAAATAAATTTTATTTTCAAGAAAACATTTGGTTAAATTCACTTCAGGTCTGGTTCTTTAGTCCTCCCAAGTCCAATATATATATATTTATAATATTCAGTTATAATAAATCATTTGGCATTCTCTTTRTTATTTCAGCTCCTATGTACAATTTAGAAGGCCACTTTAACACACTTAGTGTCAGATATGAACAAACACTCAATAAACCATTGATTTATCTGATTTTTTTTGTCAGATTTAAAAGCATTCCAACATGCTGAAGAGCAGCAGAGTTACCTGTTTGACTTGACTCTTCAAACTGTAAAAATAATCACGGTTCAAACTAAATAAAGGTGCAATACGTCATATAAGAGTCCAAATTGGCATGCCTCTACGTTAGAGGAACTGTTTTAATTAGAAGGAAATAAAGTGCCTTGTTTGTAACCTGATTTCTTTTTCTCTAATTAAGAGCAATGTTTTTTTATTTGAATGAAAACATGTCCACTGTAAGAGATACAGCTTTTCTGGATATGTTGATGTAGCGTCACTGTGTCGGCTCCATTCTCCTGCCTGGCGACGTCACTTTCTTCTGCTGAAAGCCTGAACACACAGAGACRATCAGACATTATCTTTCATATCTAGTCGCACAGACAAGCTGAGAAATCCAGAACACACAAACCTGTATCTGACAGCGTTAACCGATTCAGGTCTTCCTCCAGCTCGCCAGAAGAAATATTCAAGTGACCGTGAGGTACATCAGGCAGAGAGCTGAGGAACGGCTCACTGGAGGGTCCCAGACCATTTGTTGGAACTGCAGGCAAGTCTGGCTTTGATTCATCCAACAAAGCCTTCAGTTCCTCCTCCAACTCATCCATGTTTTCATCTAAACATAAATATTAAACGTAAAGCTCTGCGATAACCTCAGTTATTAAAGGTACGACACCAACTGGACACCAACCGACTGACTTACCTGCTGTGATCACACCACTGGAGATGGTCTGATTCACATCATCTTGTGTGTCACAGAGCTGTTATGTGATGGAAGAACATTAGCAGAAAAGCATTAGGGGCAAAAAACAAAAGTTTATTTGACAATTTATCGTTTAAATAACAGACCTCCTGGATTTGGTCCACAAGGGTCTCGGCTCGCTCCACAGTCACGTCTTTAAGAGAGAGCCTCAGGGCTGCCACTCCGGCCTGATATGCCTGCATAACCTGCGCGTGCGTGCACAAACACACACACACACACACACAACAAACACTCAGTACTGACAGCATACACATTTGATCAGTCCAGCTGTTAATGCAGCTTCTTACCGTCTTATCAGTCTGAGACTGAGCTATTCGGTCCAGAATTCCTCTGATAGTCTCCAATTTGGCAAACAGGTTGTCGGCTCTCTTTTCCACCCTCTTGTGGCCTCTCAAACACCTCAGCGCCTTTGGGACACATGGTAAAAATGACCAAATTAACMAACTGCTATAAAGATGTCTTTTTCTGTTTTGCAATTCTGTTACAATAACCTGTGATTTCCTCCCTTCCCGCAGCAGAGTTCTTGCGTCCTCTTTGCACCTGCACACAGATCATTGAAAGGAACGTCTGGAGATAAATGGCTCATACTGTGCACAGAACCATAAGGTTATGAATATAACCACAGTTCCTTGAAGGAATAGAACGAAGTACAACACACAGTTGTATATGGGACACGCGCGCCC